GTACATTCCTCTCTCTTGCATGTATTGAAATTCATTCAGTTATTGTTATGTTTGTATAAAAGTTTGTCTAACATTGTTATGAGATTTGGAGTCAACAAATTTAACAGAGTCCGAATTTCTCATCTTTAAAATCCAATCCAATCTAAAAAGAAAAAAGAGTGTAACCCAAGTTGGGTTAGTTAATTTTGGTGGGTCAAGTTGTAACCCCTAGTAAAATTGATGATTTTGTTTTTAGTTAGTTTTTGTTTGTACATAAATACAGCACCATTTTAAGCAGATAATTGGATCCCAAATCGAAGAGCCATTCACCCATTAGCCTATTCATAACCTTTCTTCTCTTTCTCTCTTCCTTTCTCTCTCTTCCATGGGTGAGTCGGTGGACAGGACATTGCCGGGCCACCTCCATGAGCCGCTTCTATACGGAGACAAGCAAAACGACGTTGAGCTGCAACCCACCGCCGCCGCCGCCTACGGCGCTGGCGCCACCAACTTCATCAAAACCTGCTTCAATGGACTCAACGCTCTTTCAGGTTCTAATTTCTCTACTTATCTTTTGTGGTTTAATTTCGGCGTTGGCGTTGCCGTCGCCATAGCCACGCCCACCGCTGCCTCTTGTGTACCTTTTCTTCAAGCCTTTCAAATTGCTTCCATTTCTTATCCTCTCTCTCTCTCTATCTTTTTTTGCTCAAAAAGGGAATATTTTATTTGGTATTCTCCCTAATTTCACCAAATCCTTTAAATTTTATATATTTTTTTAATAATTCTTTTGAATTTTAGTTAAGAAAAGAGAGAAACTTAGATCCAAGTTGAGAATTTCATATTAATATATATGATTCTCAATCTAGTAATATTATTTTATTTTATGAATGTGTTTTTCATGTAGTTTAAATCTTTTAAAGATATTTCTTAAATAAATTACATAAATCCATAAAAATAATAGAATAATAGAATAATAGAAAAGAAGTTGGGGAGTGTTACTAAATTAGGCAAGCCAACTCAAAAGAGTAGGTTGGATCGGTAATACAAGTAACTTAGAACAGAGTTTACAACCTAATCTAACCCAATCCAGCCATTCATTTTCGGGTGTGCTCGAGTTGTCATGTTGTATTTTTTTAATTATTTAAAAAAATCTTAGTAATAATCTTAAAATAGGGTTTAGAGTTTATTTTAGTAATAATCTTATATTGAATAAAATATTGAAAAGAAAAAACAGGCAGAAGAATCAATGATGGGATAATAGGACAATAATTTATTTTTGCTTTTTTTATAGTAAATTCCAAAACCTTATATTTTCCTATTTTAATTAAAAAAAGAAAGAAAACTTGAGATTGATAAAGTAGATGGCTTTAGAGGAAGTAATCACGTGCCAGACAAGGCTCCACCAAAGTGCTAAAAGATGGAGCTTTCCAACACCTTTTTTTGCCAAACGTTTGATTTGCGTCTTACTTTGTTTTCATGTGTTTTGATTGTATGGATTTGTCTGAATTAATTTGTTTTATTGTTTCGTATTCAATTCATACATTATTACTCTTTTTTTCAAACTACTTATGTTTGTTTAGATAGAAATGGAGGGTAGGTTATTGACTAAGCTCCCATAACCCTTGAGGATAACAGAGGCAAAAGAGACGCCCACTCAAAATTAACCCATTATCCCATTCATCCTAAAGATGATGACCATGGCCAAGAACTTTTTTTTAGTAGGGTTGGTAGCCATGCTATTAAGCATTGAGATGGATCTTCCATGGAGCTTGGAGGAGCCTAAATGTAATACCCCGTCATTATCATATATTGTTTTCTTTGGACTTGCTCGGCTTCCTTCAAGGTTTTTAGAATGGGTTTGCGAGGGGGAGGTTTCCACACTTTTATAAAAAATGATTTATTCCCTACTTTATTTGACGTGGGATCTCACCACTCGTTCCTCTTTTCAATTGATATGGGATCTCACAATTCATCCCCTTTGCGGCCCAACGTCTTTGCTGGCACACCTTTCGCTGTCCACTCTTTTTCAGGGCTCAACGTCCTTGTTGGCACACCGCCCTGTGTCTGGTTCTAATACCATTTGTAATAGCTCAAGTTCACCGCTAGAAGTTATTATCCTCTTTAGACTTTTCCTTCCGGCTTCCCTCAAGGTTCTTAAAATACGTCTGTAGTGAGAGGTTTCCAAACCCTTATAAAGAATGTTTTGTTTCTCTCTTTAACCGATGTTGGATCTCACAATCTACTCCCTTGGGGTCTAATATCCTCGTTGACACTAATTCTTCTCTCCAATCGATGTGGGATCTCACACTAAACTCCAAAATATTTGCCAATGATGGTTGACTATCATGGAGTCTATGACACTCGAGTAAAAAAGAAGTATATGAATAAATCAATACCATATTCAAATGAGAGTGATTACGAGAATAAGATGACTATGAAAAGCTTAAAAGAATCAAAAATTGCTGCACTTACTTTTCAGTAACTCAATCACAAGAACTCTAAAGTTAAATAAGTTATGTTTGGAATAATCCTCGGTAGAGTGACCTCCTAAAAATTTTCTTAAGTATATAAATGAGGATAAAAATGTTAAAACAACTTATGTTGATGTGTGGGGATATTTTGACATTCTTAGAAGATAGAAGTAATTAACATGATCTTATCGTAAGAATCTCGGGACATTAGGTACTAAATTAAAATTTCATATCCTGGTCAAAAATTCTAAACCTGGGGCATTCTCATCCAAATGTCAGTGCCAAACACTCCATCTCCTTCTCTAAGAACGTCTATGCCTAGAAGTTCACTCTTTCATAGATTATGCTGCTTCTATCATAGATTATGTTGAGATAAATGTGAAAGCCAAATGTAGCGTTGTTATTGACTATGAAGTTCTTGCCCTTACCTAGAAAAAAAAAGTTGAAAAATGTTTAGTATTATAAAGAGTAATTCTACTATTCGACCGAGAATTACATATGCTTACAAACATTTTTTCCATTTTCCGTAGGGACCAAAACTCACTAGTCTCCTACAAATGTTATAATCACCGACTTTGTAGGTATGTATCAATTTCATACACAGAAGAGTCATGGAAGGAAAAATGGATATGATATTTTTCATATAAAGCATACACAAATATCATCTTTTTCTCAATAATGTCTTTGTCATTTGATTTAATAGCGTTTTACTTGGTCGTGAATATCTGAATAGGACGAACCAACCGTCCCTTTGCTTCGGAAGCATGTTAGTAATCATTTCTTACATAAAACAATTCTCCACAAACTCTTAGTTGCCTGCAAGATCTCAAAGGATCCAATATATTTGAGGCTAACCTCCCATTCTTGCCAAAATGCTAAAACTCAAAGATTAAGAAGAGATTATAAGACACTCTATAGAATACTATTACATTTTGCTTTACTTGAGACTGTTCGGTGTCTTGTCATCCCAAATGTGCTTTAAGATCTCTTCTTCGATAGTGGTGTTCAAGACAAACATTGTTTTGCCTGCTTTGATTCTCCATTTGTGTAAGGTGCTATTAAGATTCTCCTCCCAAAGGTCCTATCCTTGTAAGTGGGATATCATACATGTGGTCCACGTGTTGTAGTTGTTGTTGTTTTGTTTCTTAATTCCTCCAACGATTTGGAAATCACCCATCATGTTGGCAATACCTCAATGATACTAAAAAAAGTCTTCTCGACACAAAACTTGCCGAGTCCCAGACTACTCACAACTCAAAAAAACTCACTCACTAAGATCTCAAGAAATCGTTTCTGATATGGAAATAAGACAGAGTTGCAACCATAGAGTATACTAAGAATTTCAAGAGGTCATACAACCTACACCAACTTCGCTCTAATACTATATAGTTGAACACAACTATTTGTAGGAAACACTCGCATTTTTTATTAAGACCAATCAAGAAGAGATTACAAGACACTATGTAGAATAGTACTTGAGACTCTTTGAGATTTCTTAGGATAAAAAACTTAGTAGGGTAGAGGCGTATTTAGAGTAGAGGCTAGACAATTTATTCCTACAATACCTAAATTCTTTTCCTAGAATACTTAGTATCTTTATTCCTAAAATACCTAAATCATTTTCATAAACTATCTAGATATTTTTATTCTTAAAATATCTATATATTTATTCCTAAACTTTGTAAACAATTGGCTCATATAGTTATTGAGTTTGACTTAATTTGGACGAGTGATGTATTTTAGGATAAGAATCGGGTTGCTGTAAATTGTGTTTGATTCGTGAGAAAAGATTCAAAATGTTTGGTTAGCCGAGCCCAAATTCTTCCAATTGAACTTAAATAGTTAATTTCTTTAGATTGGTTTGATGTAGCCCAAAAATCAAAAATTAACTATTAATTAACTTAAATAGTTAATTAATAGTTAATTTAGAGACAAATTTTAATCTTTTAAGATTTCAAAACTTCAAATGATTTTCAATAATAAAAATGTGATTGAGAAAGAACACAATTAGATAAGAATAGTTGTGGGTATTCTCTCTCCACACAAAAGCTGAAAACTACCCTACCATCAACAATTTCACTTCAAATCAGTGTCGGTTCCATGTTTTTGGAACATGTTTTTTTTTTTTTTTTTTTTTTTTTTTTTTTTTTTTTTTTTTTTTTTTTTTTTTTTTTTTTTTTTTTTTTTTTTTTTTTTTTTTTTTTTTTTTTT